CTGTGACAGAGGAAAAGTTTGACTGGAAGACTTTGAGTGTCCAGTGGGAAGAATGTGATTTACTTATAGCACGTGTTTAATGATAAAGAAATCCAAGATGCCATTGCAGAATTAGCTGAAACGTTTCTGTTCTGTGAAATAATAAATAGAATCACAGAGAACATGTGGAATTTTGGGCCAGAGGAAGATGATGGACCAGTTGTCTTTTGTTGGGTGCAAGTTGTTCAGTTACACCAAGAAAATGCTGCCTCTTGGGGATTTTTTAAGTGAATTTAAGGCTCTAAACAGTGGAAAAACTCAAGAAGGATTTAAGGTACTTGTGCACAGCAGAGCCGTTGTCAGGTGAGAAGCTGCAGCACCCAGACACATCTTGAGGTGCTGCAGAACTTCTTGGCTTGCAGCAAGAAATTGATTTTTCTCTGAACTCATTTCACACCCCCAAAAAAGCTGAGTTTTCTCCATTTAACATTTTGTTTGGCTATAACCTTTGCTACTAAAACAAAGCTATCCTGATGAGAAATCCTTCTGGATCTCAGGGATTTTGGCCTTTTCTGTGCTGAAAATAATCATAATTTGATTATCATCTGAAGGTGTCAGGATTAAAACATACAAAGGAATCAGAACTTCACTGCCATAATTTTTGCTGCCTTGGAAAAGTTCTGGGATGCTTCAGCACCACAATCATGGGGACAAAGCTTGGGTGAATGTTCAATGTCTGGAATTATTATTGCTGTTTATGGTATCCTGTGGAAATGCTCAGGTGGCCACAGTGGGAATTCTTTACCATGTAAAGAAGCTGAGGTGGGAAGACCAAAGTGATAACTTGTGGCTCAGCATTGCCACGTTCTGGGTGATGGCTGGGTCAGACTCTGAGTGCCAGCTCTGCTTGGGTAATGAAGGCTCCACATCCTGCACCGGGACAGGGACAGCAAGGTCTACACCAATAATCTCAGGAGCATCCTGCCACCCTCACAAATAACATTTATTTGACTGCCTGGCTTGAAAACATTTCCAGTGTTGGTGTTTTGATTCAGTTGCACCACCAGGAAAGGCTTCCCTTGCTCACAGGCTGTGTGGCTCCTGGGTTCTGCCTGGGAATTTAATGGACTCTCCTATAGGAAGGAATGCATTAACTACAGGTCAGCAAACCCTGCTTATTGGGTTGTTTCACACCAAGAGCTGTTATTACCCCGTTGCTTTTAAGGTGCCTGTTTAAAGGTAATTATTTAGTCTGTCCAAAGCTGTGTGGAATTCCAGCACAGCCTCTGCTCCCTGGTGTTAATGATGCAGCACAGCCACAGCTCCGTGTTCCCCTTGGCTTGCCCTTGGGACAGCTGACTCTTAGGGACTGAAGAGTTTCTCTCTTTTTATTTTTCACTTGCCAAGGATTGGTATGTGGTTTCCCTGGATTTGTCATTCATTCAAAATTAATTCAAAAAAGTTTTGGTTTTTTTTTTTGTTTCATTCCCCTTTAGAATTGAAATTCCAGCGTGTTCTGTAACAAGCATAGAAACCCCGAGCCTGGATCTATTTTTACTCTTTGACACAATCCTATGTATTTTCCCACGATGAGATTTGTAATCAGTGTGGGAATTTATGCTGGGCTTGAGCCTGGAATTGTGTAAAATGTTTTTTTCCTCTTAGGATGGAAAGAGAGAGGACATGTCAGGGGATGGCCTTGTTTCACAGTGAGCTGGGAGGGGACTTCAGTACAGACAAGAATTGGCCTTGCACAACCCCTGACTCTGCTGAATTGTCTCTGTGGGCCTGCAGGAAGGAGAGTGTCCAAAATTTTGGAAAGTCTTGATGCTTTTAGAAAGTTGCTCCTATGTGACATGTCCATTACTCACCTTGAGCATCTGTGGTGGAATCAACAAGTGAATCCAAATCATGCAACTTCCTCCCACTCACAGGTCATTGGAGGTGTCCTGGCCTTTCAGGCACCAGACTGTTCTTCATAAAACATTCCAAAGACTTGCAGGTACCCAAAAAGGAAAATGAGGAGGGAGGTATTTTCCACCCCATGGATGTGGTGTGTAATTACTGGAGGCAGATCCTGATTCTCTGTCTGCATTGCTCATCCGTGCTGTGCCTAAGAATTCCTTGATATTCAAAGTGCCCCAGCCAAGCCAGGTTTGCATAATGTGATTAAATTAGGAAATGATATTTCATGCCTGGATATTACAGTGTGCACACACACACACTTTCATCCTGTGTCGGAGCGTCGCTTGCGCTGCTCTGATACCCTGCACCAGAGGATGTCTGCAAATGGAATTATTTCAGGATAGTTATCCTAAATAACCCCACGTAGGGAAACCTGTATTGTAGCACAAAAGCACCTTACTCTCCTTTATCATAATCCATTTAAATGTGGATTATGCTGATGCAGAACAGGGCACTCCTACTTTGGAATAATTTTAAATAGGAATAGTTTTTGTGCTTTTGGCTCACGCCCTGCATTATCCAAACTGGCTTTGAAGTGTAAACAAGCCTCTGATGTGTCTGTGCTATTTCCATTCTGCTCCCTGACTCCTCCTTGTTTCTTGGCTCTTCCTTTGGGAAGGTCCAGAGCAAAACCAGACCTGCAGAGCCCGTCATTTAGGTCTTTGCTTTCACAAACCTCATACCAAGGGACGTTTCCAATCCAATTCCCAATTTAAATGCCTCCCTAAGCTTTGAAGGGAATATTTAGATGCAAGTTTCTGACGCTGAGCCATCCCCACAGATTATATTAGGACATTAAATGTTTCCTTTCACACTTTCCTGAAATGGAGGATTGTGTTTCAAACCTCCTGTGGTCTCTTTTGGGACTGTTTGGGGTTTTCCCTTTATTACCATCAGCCTGTTCTGCACCTCCAGAGAAACCTGAGGGGGTGCAACTCTGAGAAGGGTCCAGTGCAGGGAGTGCTGCCATAGCTCAGTCCCTGCAGCTGCTCCTCTGTGAGGAGCAATGATGTGTAGGGAAGGCAGCAGAGAGGCTCCCTAAAATCACCCCCTTCTGTGGTGTCAAAAGCCATTTTTACACCTGTTCCCATGAAAAGTCCCAGCTTCTTACCTGAGGCATGTAAGATTCACTTAAACCTGCTTCCTGACTGTGTCATCTTTCCCTTTTTGTGTCCTTTTATCCCGTAATTTTCCACACCTCTGTCACATCCTGTTCATGTGCTTGCAGCCCTGCAGCTCCAGCCCTTGGTCCTGCCTCCCTTGGGAGCTGCTCCCACCTGAGCTCCCCATGGATTTACCTGCTGGATTTTACCAGATCTGTAAGTGCCATTCAGGACAGAGCAGCACAAGGCTAGCTCACATCATCTGGTTTTTGCTTTGTTAGTCCTTTTTCTGGCCATTCCCTTTGTGTTTATTTCTAAGCTCTGGGAGCTGGTGCAGAGTCCCGCTCGTGGCGACGCCACGAACACAACTAATTTGGAGCTTCATTGCCTGGAGATCAGTGGGGCTGTTTTATCTTCTGTTTTATCACTGATACCATGAGGTCCTTGTGCAGCTCCTCACAGACAGGTTTAGATTTGACTACCCTGAGTAGTTCTGAAACATCAGCAAACTCATTCATCCCCACTGGCGCCAGCTGGCTCAGCACGAGGGCTGGGGACACCAGGCAGGAGCACCAGCTCCTGTCACCCCTGAGCACTCAACCCCCAGCCATGAAACTGGAGAATTCTTTCTTAAATCTATGCAATTTTGCATAATTTCCATATCATAAACTATATAATCCCTTTTAAGATACAACCACAGAGGCGAAGGATCTTCTCACAAAGACCATGGAGGTGCTTTCTTCAAATAAAAAGAGGTTTATTAAGAGAATGAGAATGACATTGTAGTGTGGGTGTTGTACATCTATTGCAGCATTAAGAGAAACAACAGCAAGTACAAAATCCTGCAGAACTTCTAGAGTCATCATCATCACAGCCTAGCTTGTCCATGCTACAGTTTGGTGGATCCAAAACTTCATTCCCATTTCTAATGGCAGAAAATCCAAAGATTTTCATCTTTCAAAAGAAAAAAAACCCAACCCAAAACAAACAAACAATCAAAAAAAAAAAGGCAAAACAAAAAACCCAACTCAATTTGATATAAATAACTTGCACTGGACATTTTAAAACTTTCAGATTTTAATTACACATAAATAAATATATACAGATTTAGAAGAGTTCCGTTTGGCCTGGTTCAAGTTCTGCTCCTTGTGCTTTATTTATTATTATTACTAATCTTAGAAACTTGTGTGCTGTTATCTGTGGGTTGTGGAGTTTTGTTTAGTCCTGGGTTTGACTTCACCTGCCTTGTCCCCAGCAGGGAGGGCAGCACTCAGGGGGACTCCCCTTGCTCCTGCCCTGGGACCTGCTGGCTCTGTGGTTGTTCCTCCCTCGTGCCGTGGCTTGGGGCTCCTCAGCCCACAGGAACATCCACAGTGAGTCTCAGTTTGAAGCTGTAAACAAATCCACAGCAGTTCTGCCAGCAGTTTTCCTCGGCCTGGTGTCAGGGCTGGGCTGTGGGTGGGGAAATGGGAAGGTTTCCTGGGTGTTTGCCTCAAAACCAGTGGATAAATCCAGGTAGAGCCAGGGCTCCATCCCCCTGCCCTCGGCTGCTCCTGCTCTGGCTCTTGCACTGATGAGGCTTTTGCTCTTTCCTCTCAGTTTTTCAGTTGGAACAAATTCCTGGAGCACGTCAGGATTTCACTATGGGGTTTTTTTTTAAAAAGCAAAATAAAATCAAATTGCACATGACTTGGCTTCCTGCATCCACGTTACCAAAAAAAAAAAAAAAAAAAGGCAAAACCCCAAAGCCATCAGCCTGGCTTCTCTCAATCTCACTACGTCCATTAGCGCTGTTTTCTTCTTAAATTCTTTAAGCCTTCTTTTTTCCTGTCTTTTCTTTGTTTGCTTTACGAGTTTCCCCCCACGTTCAAGCTCAGCAGTTCAGAAAACAGTGCTCTGGGTCACCTTTCCCCCCGGTGCCCGGGGGAGCTCCCACGGGGGGAGGCAGCGCTGTTATTTCCGATGCTTCCCCTCTTTGTCCGACGCTTTGGAGTCCCCGGCCGTGTGCCCGTTCCCCGTGCTGTTCATGAATATTTTATCCAGCCCCTTGAGGGACTCCACCAGGTAGTTCTGGAAGGCGGTGAGGGCAGCACAGATGGCCGGGCCCCCGAAGCCGTGGGTGATCAGGCTGAAATGAGTCAAGCAGCTCTGCACTCCGGGCTCCAGGATGAGCGAGGGGCGGCTGTTCCCCAGCGGAGAGCGATCCTGGGCTATCAGGTCTGCAAACTCCTTGCAAATTTGCCTGAAAGAGAGAGGTTTGGTCACTGTAATGCACGTGGAGAGCTGCAGGACGCAATCATGGAATCATGGAACAGTTTGGGTTGGGAGGGACCTAAGAGATCATCCAGTTCCAACCCCTCTGGTGTGGACACCAGGCTGCTCAGAGCTTCATCCAACCCAGCATTAAATGCTTTCAGGTGTGGGGCATCCATAACTTCTTCGGGTGTATTTTGGGGCTCTCTTCCTGCTCCCTGCCTCAACAGCCACCTCCCCACTGGGAGTTTTTGTCTCCAGCTTGGGGAAAGCCCCTGAGAGCAGAAATGGAGCCACTGCAGCTGCTCCAGCTTTGAAAGGGCACTGAGGCAATACCAAAATGCTCTCCAAGGTTGGGTTACTCTCTCCCATGCAGGAACAAACCCTTCAATCCATGCATGCCATCCCCTCCGCTGGACACCTTCCTGCAGTGTGAGCCCATCTCTTCCCCACAGAAGAGCAAAGTCTGGGGGCTAACGCTGCCCTCCCAGGCTGCAGGTACCCAGTGCACCAGTGGCTCGTTGCCCTCTGCACTCACTTGGTAGCCAGCAGCATGTTTTTCCTGGTGTGGAGCTCCGTGGGGTCGGAGTGCTGCCGGCACAGGTACTCTGCCGCCGCCTTGGCCGGGAACTCGGTCTCGCAGACGTAGCCGAAATCCCGAGCCAGGTGAATGGCTTCACCTGCGAGCAGGACAGAGGGACATCAGCACTGAGCTGTCACCAGTGGGACAGGGAAGGAGCTGGGAACTCCTGTAGAGCTTCAGCCATCCCGCTGTTGGGGCTCAGTCCTGGTGGGACTGGCGCCCTTCCCTGCCTCCGTGGGCACCCAAAAGCTCTCCCCACCTTCATCTCTTGCTGCAGAAACACCGCTGAGTTCCTTATTCTCATCTATAAGGCAATTAGTCTGTGTGGGCCAAATGAACCAGTGCCAGCTCTAAACAGCAGCTGGGTCCTTCCTTTACTATGTTTTACAAGAGCATCAAGACAGTGCTGGCCTGGGAGCAGGGTGAGGAGTGACTCTGGGCACCTGCTGCAAAAGGAAGAATAGCAGAGGCATTTCTTACTTGGGAACATCCCCTGCTGCATCCTTCCCTACTTCTTCCAAAATTTCCTGCTTGGCTTCCCCAAGCTGAGAAGATTGAAAGAGGATTGAAAGGGAAGAGATTGAAAGGGAAACTGGAGGGTCACGGAGTGAGCTCAGCCCCATGGACGAGGCAGGGCAGGAGGAAGGGGCAGGAGGAAGGGGATTACATCCCCCCCAGTGCCCGGGGGCCCTCGGGCTGGACGTGCAGGCAGCGTATCCATCACCCCATGGAAATGCCCACCCATTGATGGAATTGATCCATCTCCAGGCGTCCCCATGGAAATAATCAGAGCTGATGGCAATTGATCATGCCCAACACCCGAAATCCCGGTCGGGCAGGCAGAGCTAATTTGCCTTGCCCCCCTGCTGCTCACACGTATTAGGCCATCCATCCTAATAGCATTAACCCAGATCCCATCCCTGCCTGCCCGGCTCCCCGAGCTCAGTCTGTGCAGCCCTGTCACAGGGAAGTGTCTCTGCTGCCCACACAACAACAGCACTTTCCACTTCATCTCCTCCTCCAGAGAAAGAGCAAATAAGGTAAACCTAAAGAATCAGAACTGCAGTTGTTTGTGTGTTTTCAGTCTGCCATCAAGATGGCATCAAGTTTTAATGTGAAATGAGAGGGTTACTGCTATCAAAATTGTAAAGCACAGCGCTCTAATTTTTGGTGACTTACTGAATGCAAATCAGTTAAAAAGAGAAACTGCGGAATCCCATGGGAGAGTGGGGTTTTTTGGGTTTTATTTTTTTAAACAAGTTTTTATGCTTTAAACTCTCTATTTGTGTCCTTTCATTAAGATCACCTGAACAATTTACAAGTCTAAAAAAAAAAAAAAAAAAAAGTCAGAAAGTAATAACTGCTGAAAAACTGATACTGGGATAATAAAAAAGAGCTGAGTGACCTCAAGTCAGAGCCAGGGCTGGATCCAGAGCCAGGATTTATTTCTTCCATGAGTGTGTGAGTGGCTGCACATTTTAATGTTTTTTAAAGGCAGTTTGGATGCTGGATTACAGAGGTGCCAGGGGGAGCAGGACACTCTGGCTTTAGTGTTAAAGACACATTGAGCCAGATCTTGAGGAGGAGAGGCTGCAGGCGAGTGCACAGAGGGCTGTGGTGGGCAGGGGGGCAGCAAGAGCCTGGCTGAGGGCAAACCTCCTTCCAAGAGCCTAAGGATGTTTCTGGAGTGCAAATACAGCCCTGCTGCTCCCCTGGGTCCAGGCTGGAGGTGCTCTCATGGAGCCCTTTCCAAAGAGAGGTCCAGTGCTTGTTGTACATGGAGAGGACTCCCAAGGGAGCTGTTTCTACCTGGTGCTCCCTGGTTCTCCAGGAACATCCTCCCCATCTGTATGAGTGGCTGTGGGTCAGTGTAAGAAAAAATATTTCATTAGCACTCAAGACCACATCCATTGGCTGTTTTAAATGATTAGACCTCAGGAAGGCAGAGAGGAGAAAAGAAATTAAGCCAAGACAGCAAATATTCAGGAAAGAGTGTGTTTGGGGCAGAGGGGGACAAACCAGATTGTGTGTGCTGGGTGATGGCAGTGCAGCACCTTCCTCTGGGTGAAACATCCCCTGGTTCCATCATGCTCACAAGCAGAAGGAAATTATATCCATCAAACTCAATGGCACCACTCCTATTTACTATGAGCTGGGAAGCAGGAACCAAAACATCAGCAGCCACTTGAAATCAAACTGTACATTTCTTCCTTCCTTTCTTTCCTTCATTCTTTTCTTTCTTTTCTTCTCATGGAAATCAGCCTTTCATTCAGCACGAACCAACTGCCCTGGGTAACAACCTCCGCCTAATGAAGCGGGTCATTTAATTTGCTGCCGACAATGGGGACGATTTTCTATTCAGGATCCGAAGGCAGCTGCCTGCACCGAGCTGGGCAGGGACACAATGGATTCCTGAGCTCAGAGGGAGGCAGAGCTGTCATTCCATTTGTTTGCATCCCCATGTGCTTTCCTCCCAGGATGCAGAGGCAACATCATCATTTCCATGGTGGAGAGAAGTAGGAGGGGAGGAAGAAACTGGGTTGGGCAGGGGCACCTCACATGTCTGGGCAGGGCTCTGCCTGCCAGGGCAGCACATTTCCATAGCTCTGAGGGTGCCTGCTGCACACCTGAGCTCCACCTGCAAAACCTCAGAGCAGTTTGACATCCCCTTGGTGTCTCACTCATTTCCTGGAGGAGGGAAGGACTTGGATGTGGGACATTTCCTTCTTTATAGGTGACATGACCCAGCCTGAGCTTGGGATGCTGCCTGAGGGTGGCATGGTTGGAAGCACCTGAGCTGTGCCTTAGGTGGGCACACAGGGCTGCAGAGCAGCTGGGAAATTCTTGGCAGCTTTATTCAGGCTTTTTTGGGGGTTTGGTCTCTGTGACCCAACTGTTAAAAACAGCTCAAAGACATGAGGGATACCCTGAGCTCCAGCCAGAAGGATGCTCACAGTCCTGCTTGGCACCCATGAGGAGCTCTTTCACCCATGATCCAATATAAATGTCTGGGTAAGACATGAGGGATACCCTGAGCTCCAGCCAGAAGGATGCTCACAGTCCTGCTTGGCACCCATGAGGAGCCCTTTTCCATGGGCCACACCTGATCCAATATAAATGGCTGGGTTTTGGAAAACAGACATGGAAGCATTGACTTCTAGAATGCTTTGTGTTGGAAAAGACCTTAAAGATCAAGCAGTTCCAACCTCCTACCACAGGCAGGGGAAGAGTGCTTGGACATTTGCTGTCTTGGTTTCATTTCTGTTCTGCCCGCTGCCTTCCCAAGAGTCTGCTCATTTAAAAGGTCACATTCTTGAATCAGTGTGGAGGCTTACACAGGGATATTGCCGTGCTCATTCAGTGGTGACCACTCCATATTTTAAGAGTTCTAGTTTGTGGAAAGCTGGAAATTAAGGGGATGGAAGTTTCGGCACTCCACCCTCCACGGGAGCAGGGAGACAGCCTTACCTTCCACGAGGGATGTGAGCAGGGTGACGTTGGCAGCTTTGCGCCTTCCTGCAGGTAGATTTAGTCCAATTTTCTCTAACCTTTCCCTTAAACACCGACCCCCATTTTTTGATTTGGCTCTGAAAAGAGAAAACAAAGAGGAAAAATAAATTTCCACATAATTCACGTTAAAATAACCATAATCCTAATTTAAGCTTCGAGGTTTGAAAGGAAAGAAGAAAAATCAACAAAAATACTATTCCTCAACGTACCGCACACCAGAATTTCTCATCTCTTTATCTGAGGCAAGAGCTGGTGCTGAACACAGACCTTGGGGCTCTTGGGGCATCTTACCTGCGGAGAACCCCGCCGAGGAGAGAGGCGTTGAGACACTCGGGGGGCGAGAGCCTCCTCTGCACCTCCCCGACCGTCACCTTGTACTTGGAGGTGGAGCTGAGCAGAGAGAGGCGGCCGGGCACGGAGCAGAACACCTCGTTGGGGTTGGTGACCCCTCCGATCAGGCCGTCCTTGCTCATGGACAGCGCGGGGATGCTGGTGCCGTTGGCCTTCGAGGGGATGGGCACTGGAGACAAGGAAGAGGGAGAGAAGAGGAGACCATGGCTGAGAGACCCAGACTCTCCAGGCAGCAGCACGGCTGCTGGGATGTCTCATTAGTTCCTTATTTTCCTCAGTGAGAGGTGGGGTGATGAAACTAAACTAAATAAAGGTTAAAGGGAAGGAAGAAGCCTGGACGCTGCCCTCGCCTGCGTTCCCACACCTCCCAGCCCAGCTGTAATTAAAGCCAAGGTTTGGGCTGGTCTCCTGGAAGACTGAGGATTGTCCACAGTGTGGCTGGCTGGACCTCTGACCAGCTGCCCTCCCTGCCCCCTCTGGGTGCCCTGTGAAGGTGGGTGGCCGGGCAAAACGTGGCTGGTCCCACTGCAGGGGATGCCAATCCTCTCCAGGGATTGCAGCTGCAGCCCAGCTCTGTGCCAGCACTCACTGCACCCCACCAGGCAGGATCAACCACCTCCATTCCTTGCCCCAAACCCAGGAGCTGCTGGGCTGGCCGAGAGCTCTGCTTCCATTATGTGCCCACAGGAACCAGGGGAAAGAGTTTCTTTGCCTTCAGCTCTGGGATTAACCCCACAAATAGCCACAGCCCTAAACTTTCATCATCCCTGGCTTAAAGGAAGCTTGAGAAGATCAAACCCAATTAATCCAGCACAAACTTCCCTTTGCTTAATGGGCAAAAGTCAGTTAACACAAGCACTGGTAACTGCAGCATCTTGTTGGGCCTACGGCATCACACCGGGGCAATGGGGCTCGATTTTCCCATTTGTCATTCCATAAGAAATGTTCTTAGACACATTAAAGGTTTATAAGTTAAAACTGTGGGTGAGACTTGTGCCAAATCTCTTTGGCTTTTATGCTCTGAAATTAACCAGAGCGTAATTAACCAGAGCTTTTATGCTCTGAAATAACCAATTTAATTCAGGGTAAAAAAAAAAAAAAAAAAAAAAAAAGAAAAAAAAAAAGCAGGTTTTGAAAGAATCCAAAGATCATTTCAGCCCTGGCATTATTCCTCAGGAATGACTGTTCCACAGTCAGATGGTTCCTGCAACTAATGCAGCAGTGACTGCCATGGTTTATAAAGGAAATACATATGCCCAAAATAATCAGAAGCCCAGGATTAATCAGTACATGGACTGGACCTGCGAGGGGGCGGCTACAATCGGCATATTGTAAATCCAGCTCCACGACTCGCTAGCATGGCAATAAAAATCAGCACACGCTACACAAAAATGAGTCATGTTTTAAGACTAAGGGATGAATGGAAAGGAGCTGAAGGACATGGAGTTTTCTCCCAGCACAAAACTTGCACCAAGTCAGGGAGCAAAGGGCGAGATACACCAGTGCCCTCCTGGAGCTGTGGTCAGGGCTTGCCATGACTGAGGTTGGTTCAGGGCAGAACAAACACAGTCCTCCTGAGATGTAGGAAACCAGAACTATTTCCAGGAAGGAGCAACTTCAAAGCTTTCTTCCGCAGTCCCAGAACAGGTTAGGTTAGTCTCCAGGGGATCCCTTAAAATCAAAAGTCAGAGCGTGGTTTGCAAATATCCAAAATATCCGTGTAGTGCTGCTGAGCTGTGAGGCCCTGCAGGGTCTCAGTGATGGGGTTCTGCTGCAGAAAGGGCCACCCCCAAACCAGACTCCCCTGGGGAGCAGGTGTTGCTTGCAGCATGGTGTGAAGAGCTGTGCATCACTGATCCACTCTGTAACCTGGATTATGTCTGGGTACAGCCGTGCATGCCTGCCATCATGCCGTGGCTGCGCTCAAGCCGCATGCGTGGCCAGGGACCTGTGCACACCCCAGGGACAGCAGAGCCATGCAGGGAGAGGGAGAGAGCTCGTGCCTCACCACACATCCATGGGACACCACGTCTGGGGAGGAGGCAAAGCCAGCTGGCACCAGTGTGGTTTAACACCAGAGCCTATGGAGAAGGGTTGGATCCCTCTCTGTGTTTGCCAGCCGCCCCACAGGCAGTGACAGGGAGGCACGGATGATGTTGGTGTGCAGCATGGAGACACAACACTTGGGAAACACATACTGGAGGTTTCAGGAATGATGCTACCATCAGAAACAAAGCCCTGGAGCTGACTGCTGTGAAGGGTGAAGCCCAGCACAGCTGGGTCAGCCCAGCTCTGTGCCACAAGCAAACCAGGCAGGCACCAGCACTGAGCGTGGATTTTGGCATTGCTCTTCTGCCTCGAAGCCTCAGCCAAGGCCACAGCCCCGTCACTTTGGGCACGTGCAGGTGTGGGACAGGGTGGCTGTGTCACGTAGAGCTTGTGCCCTCACGGGGCACAGGGGATGTGAGGGAGGGACGGGGCAGGCAGCAGTGCTGGGAGCTGAGCCGGGCCCCGGAGTCCTGCAGCAGTGCTTCATCCATTAGACAGCGTCGCCTCAATACAACAGGAATAAACAAAGCCACATTCGCCATTAATCACGAATTATTGTTATTGAGCCTCACCTGCTGCTGTTTGCCTGGTCTGATCTGCAGCTTGTTTGCCCATAAACATGCTGCAGGAGGGAGACAAGCTACCATTAAAGCCTGACAGCTTTGTTTCCTTGGCTTTTGGGGAACCAAAATTGTCTCTTGTCATCTGAGTAAACCAAAAGTCCCCCTCGATCTTCAGTTGCTGCTTTCCTGCTCCCGCAAGCAGCAGGTGATCGGAGCACCTGAGCCAGCCTGCAGACAAGAAGGAAGCATCAGAGCGCTGCGGGCGCGGCCGGACAGCCCCGCGCCCCGGGCCGACCCCTGCGCCCCTCGGAGCCCGGGCAGCGCCCGGAGCTGCTCCCGCAGCCTCGTGCCGAGCGCTCATCCCGGCTGCACCGCAGGGGAGCGACCCTTGGGAGCACAGGCAGGGTCTGCACGGCGAGGTCTGAGGCACTGAGCAGCCCCGATGTGAGCGGGGACTGCGGCGCCCGAGAGAAGGAGCAGCCGGGCACGCCGGGGGCCGGAGACCCGCCCGTGCGGCTCTGCAGCTGGGGGTAGAAATGTCACACCGTGTCACTGCACCCGTCATGCCTTCTGCGGGATCAGCCACAGGACACACCGGGTTTTGGCAGAGTAGGACATCACCTTTCCCACAGCGACCCGGCTCTCCCTCCCGCGTGCCCCTGGCAGGAGCTGGGGCAGGCTCAGGTCCCACTCCTGACCATGGAAACCTGAAGACATCCCAGAGATGCTCGTGCACACAGTGACACGCCAACACGTTGCAAAGGCTGATGAGGAAGGGTTGGATGCTGGTGCCCAAGCAACCACACCTCCAGCCCTGCCTGGTGAGTGGGATGGGGTACCCCTGGGTCACCCCAGCCCACCCCAGGAAGCTATAAATGACTGGGAAAAAGTGGGAGTTTGGGTTGATTCAGCCAAAGAAAGGGGAAGAAGGAGACCTTAGACCTTTAAAAACTGCTCAGAGCACTCCTGGGGAATGCAAGGTCATCTTTGTAATCTGTTCTTATTATTTATCAATTATTATTTATTGATGCTTGATTGCTTCACTCTGTCCTCCCCCTTTTCTTAAACTGCCTGGCATTTCTGAGAGGGTTTTTCCCATGGAAGTGTTTTTTATTCAGATTAATCCTGCTAAATTCAGGTGAGCTTAGCTGCAGATTTCAAAATCTGCAAATTCAGGTGAGCTTGGCCACAGATTTCAAAAACTAAAGCCCCTCTGAAGCATTTTGACCTGCCCTGGGGATGCTGCAGGTGGGCTGGACACAGGTCAGAGGGGTCAGATCTGAAAGGGAAAACAGATTTTGGAATAAGGTTATGCTGGCAGGCCTCAAAGGGCTTCACACATCGCTGATCCTGAGCCCAGTGCTGGTACAGCACCAGCCACCAAAGCCATTAACTCACTCCTGACTCAAGCCAGGAGTGAGTTAATGGCTTTGGTGGCTGGTGCTGTACCAGCTCCTTAGTGCAGCTGGGGAAAATTGAGGCACAGAGCAAGTTAAATGATTTACCACAGCTCAGGTACATGGGCATGATCTGTGTGTGTGCAATTCCAGCCTGTGGGAATGCCTTTCTAAGCAATCCAGGCTTCAGCTGTTGCCCAAGTGCTGGGAAGTGCTGTGCTGCAGGCTGATTACATACAGCCTCTGTTTTCATAGCTCTGGATTTTCTGCAGGAAGCTGTGAAATCGAGCAGTTTGTCACCCCATCATCCTGGCTCCTGGTGCTGTGGTGACTCGGAGAAGGGCAGCACGGCAGTAACAGGCACACAGCAGAATCATGCTGAGTGTGGGACGGGAAATGATCCTCATTTCTTCTGTGCACCTCACAAGAAGCGTTTCCATCAGACTCAGCCTCTCACTGCAGCCTTGAACCTCACAGGGCAGGTGCCACTTTCAACCTGTCCTGTTCCAGGTGTGTGTGAGCAGCACTGGAGAGACCCAAACTCCCAGTGAGTCATTTGCCCCTGTGCTTGGAGCAGGTACGTGTGACTCCATCTTTCCTGTGAACCTCAAGGTTTGTGATCTCCCAACAGAGGAGCCTTTTGTGTTGAATCAGCTCTGGTTTGTCTTTAAAACATACCCTGGTGTAACTGTCAGAAAATGAACCCCCACAACTTCATTTGCTGTGGCTCAAAAACCCTGATGCAGAGAGTGATTTCAAACAAGTCCTGGTGTCCAAAAACACCAAGGGTTCCATCCCTTGGCTTCCCTGAGCTGGAGAACACCCTGCTGCCTGGGGTTATCTCTTTGTATCTGGCACAGCCAGAATGAAATTTTGTTATGACACAGAACAAGTCACTATCCTAGTTTGGGCTTGACTGTCTCTAGCAACAAATTGCAGATAATAATATAATAATGTCTACCTGGGAGGGATGTTATGATACCCAATTAAAACTTTCCAAGTAATCTCTGGTGGGAGATTTCTCCAGGTGAGAAGTCCTTGGGTGTTGAATGCACCAGGAGGAGTTGGTCCAGCCCCTGAGCACGGGATGTGATGATGCCCCTTGGAGCAGGCAGGAAATGGAAAGGCAATTCCATGGACAACAGGAGTCCCGTACCTCC